AAGTGAATCGGCCAGAGATTTCGTTGGGTGAACCCGGAGAGTCTGCACTCCGGATCTCGCGATGGACCAACCGTGTATAGCCGTGCCTCTCCTACCCGCGCTTTTCGCCGAGTATCGATCTGATATCCCAGCCGGCAGTCGACCAATGTTTGCTGCGAGTTGCTGCGAGTGTGCCCGCGCCCCGTCGCCTCACCAACAAACGTGCACAGACACACACATACATACACACGACCAAGCCATCCTGAGGAGAGGGGAACACAACTCGGGTCTCGGCTGCCGCAAGACCGTTTGAAAATTCAACCGTGTTGTTCTTCCTTCCTGATCCGCTTTATAGGCTCGCCTCTGTCCCTAAACACTGCAAAATTAGGCGTTCGCCACTTTGCATTCGCTCTACAGAGATGCGCCGACGTTCTACGAACGTTTAAGAGAAAGATTTTTTCAGTTACGCGATTTTAAGTTGGCTCCACTGCTCGAGGAATTGTATAATCGCGTTTAGCGGTGCTCAACTTTAAGTCCGATGGACTGTTTGGGAAGATTCGTTTTGCTAGGCGATCTTTCGGACGACTGAACGTTGTGTAGAAAAATCGTACGATGTTCTACTTCCGCTCATTTTGAAGCGCGAAGACACTGCTTTGAAACACCTACACTGTTCTTTGCTTTTGAAATTGATTTTTTCTTGGATGTGACCGGGGAAGTGAAAATGGTAACTTTTTTAAGTTTGATGAATTGGAATGCTTGTACGAAGATCGAAAATATTTTTTTCTGAACTAAAACTAACGTGGATTTATAGATTAGAGTCTCAGCTTACCAACGAGGTAAAAAATTTTGATCCATGATCTTTTGCTGCCATTTTATGGCACTTTGAATGACAAGTCTTCCTCGAGCATTGAACTAAGACTCGCTACAACTTGAGTAAAAAATGGTTCACATCTGAAATATTGTAATTTTGTGAAAAAAAATCGTAGAGCAACGTACATTAGCTCATTTTTAAACGTATACTCTCTACTTTCAATTTCCAGAAGTTATTTCACCGAAAAAAAATGCTATGATTGCAAACCGGGCGAAAATATAAAAATGATGATTTTTGCAAATATTGTACATTCAGATATACCCATAGAGTTGAAAATTTTTTTTCGGTCAACGAAACTACAATTAATTTGAAAAATAATGTCTCCGCTTTCCAACGAGCTAAATAATGTTAATAAATGATTTCCCGTTGCCGTTTTATCGAACTTGGAATGGATCTATGATTCAAGCGTTTAGTTCAACGAGGGCTGAAATAATTCTTAAGAAATGAGTCGCAGTCCTTGATATAATGCTTAACAATTCTATATACGCAAGTGCTATGGTACTAACAGTTTATTTGGTGCATATTTCATGCGACACCGTGTACAGAACACAGGATGGCAAACGAAGAGAGAGAGCGAATCGAACGCGGGAACCTCGGGTACACGTGGACGCGACTCACTGGTAAATTGGCGCGAAAAAATGGCTTCAATGAATCAGTCAACTGTCCTAATTGCTTAACACTAATTACGACGAATCATCCTCTAGTAAAATACCAAAACGAGAATACATAAGTACTCGCGATATTAAAGTTTGAAAAGCCACGAACATTTGAAGCAACGACAGCAATCATTTTCGTTGAAAAATATTCAAACCGAAATGGCGGGATAAAGCAAAATCGCGGATGGCGGAAAATTCGGTTTTTCGATGGGTCGACTCGAAAATAGGCGGCAGAAGTCGCGGTTCGAATTTAACCGGTCTCTATTCCCGCCATTTTGCTTTCACCCGAGAAGCAAAAATTTCGCGTGTTCCAACGTGTACGGCACGCAATCCACGTTCGACAAAGCGCGTTTCTCCGCACAAGAGTTTCGCGAGCCACAAGTTGTTGCGTGTCGCCGGGAAACAAGATCGATCCTCGATCTCAATTAGATCCGAACGCGATCGCGGCCACCGGCACCTTGGGAAATTGAAACGCAAACGAGGAGGGACAGTATGATTGCACGCGAAGGAAGTCACACCGATAACAGCAGATTTTTCATTCGATTGATAAACCTGCTCGAACGGTGTTCGGATGATTCTCGGTCAGTCTGTGACACTCGATCAAATAATTAATCAAGTACAAGGACCGGTTCACGAATTCCGCAAATTTATTGAAAACCGGTCCGTAATAACCGATAATCAGTGAAACGTTTATTCGGACGGCAGGGCGACGGGAATGACGGTTTAATGTTGAAACAATGTCAAACGGTCGCGTGTCGTTTGCGCAACTAAATTTCAATCGACGCTGACAGCGGTGCCTCGCGAGAGCGAACTATAAGCGCCGCATGAGAGCGTAATTTACGAACTCTTTTTACGGCCCTCTTTCCACATCTTCCAAAGGCGACTTTCTAACTCGTCCGAGAGAGACACATACACTCCTCGAGAGCATTCGTTACGGAACAATTGTGCGAATTAAATGCTCGCCTCGAACGATTCCTTGATAAACGAAAAAAAAGGATGAGGCGAGAACCGCCGGCAAAGATTCTACAATCCATTGTTGCCGCAAGTCCCCATTGTTATTCCATCTGTCTTTCCCATGCAAATTATTTTAACAAGATTTTTCACAAAAATACTCGACACACCGATTCTGAAACCACACGTCGACATTTGATTTACTTAAGTTCGCAAGAATTACATCGTTCGAGTTTCCGAAAAATATTTGTATTCTCCATTTTGCAAGTTGTGTAAAACGTTAGTAAAAAATGTGTACTGCGAGCGAATAATCGTGGTTCCCACGGCGGGACAAGGGTATCCGCTCGAGAAACCAGAACGGGCAACCTCAAAATGTACAATTATTGTGTTTCCTGGAACCCCAACAATCACACCGCGAGAAAGAGGAAGAAAAAAAAATACGGGACACAAAAGGGCCACCGGCCGAATACGGCATCGATTCACACTGAACAGCAATTTTTCTTCGCCGAGGAGAGAAGAGAAAAAAAGGTTTGAAAACGGAACACGGAATTCAGGATCGTCGGTTCGTTCGGAGTGACAAATACGTAATTACGCGAGAACGGACAGACGACTGGGCGTTTGTCTGATTCACTTTCGTTCCAACGTGTCATTTTAAACAAATCAAACTAATTCAACTTCCGCTTCCAGTTCACGATAGGATCGTTTGGTATTCGTAATAATTCTGACTGCTGCGAAAGTGTCGAAAGTCGGCAACAATATAATGAAAGTGTGATAAAAATGTTTACGTAGCTACGAAATGGTGAGGTAAGGAGATTTACTTTGAAACAAAATCATGAAAGTGTAAACAGAAAATAATGACATTGAAAGAAAATAATGAATGTGTAAAAAGGTCTGTTTTTGCAACAAGATAATGAAAGTGCAAAAAGGTCGACACTTTGCTACGAGATAACGAAACCGTGAGAAGATCGACTTTACTAGAAAACAGTAAAAATTGCAACAAGATTAACTTCGCTACAAAGTAATAAATAGTCTGAAAAGATTGACGTCGCTTCAAAGTAATAAGTAAAAAAAGGTCGACCCAACAATGAAATAATGGAAGAATAGATAAAGTCAACACCGTAACAAAATAAAAATGTAAATGAAATAGTAATATTTTCGTGGAGCGAAATTCGTCCGGCTTTGATTTTGCCGGAGCCCGTAAAATATTTCCTGCGGTAGGCATATGGCGAGGGGTAGAGTTCCCAGAAAGTTCCCACGGTCAATAGCTTTCATGGCGGTGATGCTTGAAAGTGCTCGAGGGTCCCTCCCTCCCCTGCCGCTCGTTATTCGCAACATTTTCGAAAAACGTCCTTCTGAGAAGTGGCCTAGCGAGCGGGCCAGGAAAACCGATAAATCTTCCGCACGTTTTATACGCACCGTCGAACCGAAAATTATAAGAACCGTAATCGATCGTAAAATTCCTCCTACGTCCCGCCCTGGGAATCGATAGTACGGTTTCCGTAGATCCTAATCCCCGTTGAAAATGGGCTCCTTTAATTACCTCCTCCTCCTCCTCCTCCTGCTTCTCTTCATCCTCCCCCTTCTCTTCGCTATCGATTACCTGCGGCTATTTCGGCCGGGATAATTTCAGACAAAATTCCACAGTAAAATGTAATAGGTCAATTGCAGGTACATCCATAAAATTCCGTCCCTTTGGATTTTCTCATAATTCTGGCATTTTCTCAAATTATCAATTTCAGCATTCTTGCTGTATTATTTTTCACGTAATTGTTTCAACATTCAACGCGAGATACCGCAAATATTGCAGAAATGATGCCGTCGAAACAATTCATCTAACCCGTGGTTGATTAACAGAAAGCCGTGTAGAAGGCGGTAAACCGTACAATTTCGATCCGGCGTGCAACCGGAAATCGATAGCTATTTATTCGGGTCGGACTCGTCCGACCAAAAACGAAAGCAACCTGCCGTCGGATAATTCATTCAAATGCCTTCGTTTCCCGAGAGAAAACAATCCGGAAACGGCTGAGTGTCCGGCATGGACAGCTTTTCCCGCCGAAAGTCGTGCGATGAATCACTCATTGAGGACTCGATACGTCCGATTGTTTATTTTCGAGTACGTGCCAGGGGAATCGTTGCTCGCCGGTGTCGTCGAACCGACGGAGCGCGGCAAACCCGAAGTAATCTCAAAAACGGAGGCCAATGTGGAGGAACCGGCAACGCGCAGGGTCGCGAGAATGAAAGAAAACCCGTCGAGGAATCGTCACTGACTGTCGGCGATGAGTGCCAGCCTCGTGTAAATAAACAAACCGACGTAAGCGTACAGCCGCGTACTACCGGCGGGTAAACGCGGCGCGAGAAAAGAAGCTCCGACGAAAAAAAGATTCGCACGAGCACACGTTCGTCCTCTCTCTCTCCCCCCTCGGCACGCTACACCTTGACACTCGACATCGGTTTCGGACACCGGTGAGGCAGAATGTTTTTTTCCAGGATTTCTCCGGGAGGCTGTCGGGAATCCCGTCCGAGAAATAGTTAACGAGACTTACCGTGTGTTCGACGATCCCCGGAGCACGTCGTCCTCGCTGTGTAACACCACTCTCACACATATATTTACGATGGGAGTATCGCGCGGATTTTTGGCAGCGACCATGCATAAAACGGACACCGACACAGGGCCCCCTTTACGGAACTGAAGTAACGTTGACACACGGCAGGCTCGTGAACAAAGACCACGCACGATTTCAAATCCCTCGTACCCGATTGGGCCGGGGCCGGCACGTGACCGGGCTGGCGCTGTCGGATTGGACGGCCGCGGCACGATTCGCGAGGACACTTTGAACGGATCCGCTAAATGCACATGGCCGACAAAGGGATGCTGGCGACGGGATTTTTCTTCGAACGATTTCTGGATGGATCGGTTACGTTTCCGATCCGATTTGGACTCGCGGGGATCGATCGCCGCAAGAACGGTCGGGAAACGTGCACAGGGTCTGCTCGGTGGCGCACGATTGACAGAAACCGACCTGTGTTTTCCCCTAACCTTCCCCACTACCAAAATGGCCGAGCCCGAATTAACCGCGAGAAAATGCCTCGGCGTCGATCGAGATTATTTTCTTTTATCACCGAATCGGTCTTGAAAAATAGTCTGGATTTTTACGGATCGGTTAAGATGGAATTTCGTTCTAACTTCGCGGCAGGAGAGCGTGAATTAATTGCGCCGAAGGATCACCAATGTTGGACGAGTCCATCGTCGCGTGAAGGGGAGCATGGCAGATCCATTTAAGAATGAACCATTACGATAATGGCGGGAATGCACACACGCGCGTACCGATTTCGACGGTTTGGCGCGAGAAAATGTACACGCGACGATTCGACCGTTCTGACACTGTTTCTCGAACGAAATTGATCGGAAATGAAACGAGGAAGACGATTATTTCCCTGTAATTCGCACGGAACGTGAACTTTCGGTACCACCGAGGTCAATAGACGTGCTCGTGTGTCCACTTCCTTTCAGAAGTTTGTTATATTTTGTTGAACAAAAATGTATAATTACCGCAGATATGATCCTACAGCGGTTTGTATAAAATAGACGAGATTTATAAACGAAAACAAAATACATATCAATGTAAACGTGCGTAGACTTTACAATAGTCTCACGATTTAGCATGGCACTTGAATTTCTACTCCTAATAATCAATTCTAATCTAATTCCCCCTTTGCATAAAATTTAACGACTTCTCCAATGTATCGCTTAAGGGAAAAAAGAAAAAGATACTTATAAATGCTCCTGATACCTTATTTAGGTCCCCTGGTCCCATCTGTATCTTGCTTATTTCTCATTCCTTATCCATGCTCATGTTATTGCACGTGTTTCCGTATCTTTGCAACGACTTTTTATAAAACTATGCATGTAACGATTATAAACTGTGAAAGTCATACAACATTCTTAAACTCTATCTGAAATAGTCAGTCTGCGACGTTCGACAACGTACTAATTCATTGATTCCTCGGTGAACTTTTACCCTGCATCCCTTATCTGTTATTATTAATATTTCTATCGTTCTGGTAAGCTTTGGTTCGCTGAGTTGACTCTCCGGCCCGTTCGATTAAACGTTCGCCACCGCCGGTATTATTTTCATGTATATTTGAATGCCTCTCAGAAATATGTCTTTGTTTAGATACTCGTCGTTATCGTGAAGCAGAATTGTTGTCTTGTTCATCGGCGAGAAACCGATGGCGGGAATCCCGACCTGCACAACAAGTAAACATGATCTTTATTAATTTTATCTAGTATTTTTAAGATACTATATATTGATATATATATAAGATGGGATATCTATAATACAGTTAAGATAACATGTATAGTATATATTTAGTATATGCAAACATTACAATTCTTATTCTATAACATTGCCTGAAGATACTTTTATGCATGGATCTCCAATGACCCATAATACCAATTATCAAATATACATTATAATTGTGTACCAACATATATCAGCAATTGCAAGAAGACTTAATATCTCATGAGTATGATTTGACTGCGGATATTATGCATTTATAGCACAAATGGATAAACGAAACACAAAGTGTTGAAAGAATTTAAAAATACTGTTGCATTACTTTCACTGTATTAACATCTTAAAAAGAATATATTGGTCTAACTTCTGTTCTGTATGGTCGATGAGGAAAGTTTTTATTTTGCACAAAGCTCCGCAATTTAATTATTACTTTTAGTAGAAACGAAATATCAAATGGTCAATGGACGTGGATAGCCGTTAACCCTGAACTTTTTCCTTAACGGAGATTTTGTTGGATACAGAACGAATCAGCAGTGTTATAGAATGTTCGATTGCAGTAGCCGAACAATGCTTTTATTCGTACCTTTCGTACATAACGACTGTCAGTACCTCCCGGGAATATTCCCGAATCCAAAGTGATTCCCAAATCGTCGCAGGCTTTCTTGAAAGCAAGCCAGTAAGGATTGCTATCGTCCACCTTTGTGTTAGGAACCTTCGAGTTCTTCTGCTCGAACGAGTATGTGACATTTTCGCCAGCCTCCTTACACCATTTTTTAATCATGGCTTCAAATTCCTCATGATCGATAGAAGGATCCAGACGGATGTCGAAAATAGCAGTCAACGATGGTGGCACCACGTTCGTTTGTATTCCACCCTGAAACAAAATCATTCCCCAACATTAGCAATGAACGATTCACAATCATTAAACTCGTCAGTCGTTTGAGTGTCCTTGAAGCTTATCGACATACTTACTCCGGGGGATTATCCTGAGCGCACAGACATACAAAAAAGACAAAAATTTCGACATGATGCGATGCGAGTTTTAGAGAATCTTGAAGAAAATACGTACCTTCAGCTGCGTCAAGTTAATGGTGGTAACGTCACCCAACTTAAGTTTCCCGTCTTTCAGCTTTTCCTTCTCTTTAGCCCTCAGATCCATGAAGCGGTCGATGATCGTTCTAACCTTCTCCCCAGCTGTGTTATCTAACAAAAGGGACCCGTGACCAGGTGTGCCATTGCACTGTACCTCCACGTGCCAAATAGACCTCTCGCCATAGAACATATAGAACATCTCTTCCGGACAGGCTACTCCTTCATCCAACGCGAAGCCAACGTTCAGGTCCTTAAAGTCTTGGGTTTCCACAAACTTCTTCATCCCGAGGGCTCCACCGATTTCTTCGTCCGGCACGAAGGAAATGTGGATCGTCCTTTTGAAACGTTGTTTGTCTAGCTTCAGACGACGTATGGCTTCCAAATACTGTATTCCGACGCATTTCATGTCCTGACTGCCGCGGGCGTAGATGTTGCCCTTCTTGTCCATGTGCGCACTGAATGGCGGATGCGTCCATTTTTCCTGAAAGCATAGTTCCATCAGTGACATGTTCTATACCCCATTAGTAATGCTTGTCCACATGGCTTATTGTAATAAGTAAGCTATGGGATTTACTTTGATAATCTCGAGGCACCAGGTCTAAGTTGAATGTTCATACATATCTCAAGATGATCAATGAGGTACTAGTTCTAATAAATTCAAGACTATTTACTGGAAAAACAGGCACAACATCCATGTGACTATTCAGCAGGATCGATGGTTTCGATGGGTCTGTACCTATCCATGTGATAACCACGATTGGTTTATTAGCATGAACAATGTACTCCTTGATTGGTAGGTCCAAGGACTTGGCTTGCTTTTGCAGGAACTGAATACAGTCATCTACAAAAAAGCAATATCAAATCAGAATCTTTATGAGTTAGAAAATTGGGTTATAAATAATGATAAGAAGCTCAGATTTGCTATGATGCATTCATATAAAGTGGCATTTTATCTTATCAATTTTGAAGATTAAGGGACCAATCTTATCAGATAATAATTTATGGAATTGTTTTGGGCTTCATAGTCATTGTTTCTTCCGGGATCTCTTCAATATTTCTCAATCTTGTTATTTAACAATCGATGCGATCGAATGGGAATTCAACAAATTCCCAAGCGTCTGAATACCTGCGATGACCCACTGTACCGACAATTTAGGTCAGCCACGAGTCCTCGGTTCCCGGACCTACAGCCTTCGAATTTTCTCTGAAAGATCAGCTTGACCAGAGCGGACGGTAGGTTGAATCACAGGGATTCACCGTGACGAGAGAGCGAGAGGCGTAAATGAAAAAGTAGGGAAACAAAAATAGAAATAAAATTTCGCAGGCAGGGTGGGGCATGCAATGGCTGGATAGCGTCTTTGACGCTAGCGAATATCCGTCGACGCTGAGGGCCGAAGTCCGCGCGATATTGCCAGGCTTCGGCCAGCCTAATTCCCCAATGAAAGCCGGATAAGTACGTGAGATCGGACGCGGTAATTTGCTTAACGAGGGGAAACGAGGATCGACACCGTTCTGGTGTACGCGTGCACACGACATCTCCGCCGCGGTCGAGGACAAATCAGATTTGTCACCGGTTTTCGGCACGGATAGAACGGTTTTTAGGGGATGTGGTTGCTCACCGTAGTTGATGTTGGGCTGGACCGATGGAATCCGCAGATACTCCCGAAAATTTTCTACAGCTGTTTCGTCCAGCTGAGACTGGGTTTGCGAAGACATTGTGTCACGGAAGCCTGGTGATCGCCGTCTCGAACGCCGCTGTATGTCTCGACTGTGCTCGACTGTCACAGCAGACGCCCGACGACCAGACCACCTCCACCAATTGCCGGTGATTATCGGCGATCACGTGGTACCCGGAGGATCAATTGAACCAATGCCACGAGAAGGGCGGGATGGACGGTTTCGGTTCAAACAAAAACGCGGTGACGACTTCAAAACGTTAGTCGAGGTTTGTCCCTAATAGATTGGGCTTTATTTGGATTGCTTTAGCTATAGAACAGCGAAGTCATGTATACTGTATACAAACACAACAAAATTAAATACATGTCCATAGTGTGCTTATACTTTAATTTATCCATTTATACTTTTGAATTGTTCTACTGGAAGCTGATAAGTTGTTTTTTTGAATATTCTATCAGGAATAACAAAATAAGTAATCAGAAAAGAGAGAGAATAAAGTACATATTTTGAAAGAATTATGTATTATTTTTTGAATATAGAAGAAACTGTCTGTAAACGACAACGAGATAATTGAACTTGAATTTTCTGCTCGAAATAGAGCGGCTAGCGTTAATGGCATAATAGACGTACAATCGTACGGATCCACAGCATCAATTCGAACGGAGGTCGCGTGGAGACCATCGGCGGGCATTTTGGACTTAATGATAGCATCTGATTTGAGTAAACTGACAAGATAATTGAAGAATGAAAAATTTCATTCATTTAGCGTGATTGGGTAACGGGATAATGTCAGGTTGATCGAAGATCAAGGAGAAAATAAATTCTAATGAAACGTAATAATGTAATGCTGTTATAGAGGAGGAACAGAGAACGTTGAAAGCGTTTAATTTGACGAGATAATTATAAAAAACGTAATAAAACTGAAGATGGGTACAGGCGAGAATAATAGGTACCAGTAAGAGAGCGCACGTGGGAACTTAATTCGTAAAATGTATTCCGATTTATTAAATTTTCATGTATGCCTAAATATGAGCTCTTTACACGTTACGCGATAATATATATACATATAGTATAATACACATACCGTACCGGATCACGTATACACACATTATATTATATATGTATATATTATCAATATAGGAGTTTGATATCGAAGAACTTGTCTGTGTATGTCTGCGTGTGTGTGGTGTATGAAGTGTATGTATGTTTGTGTAACTGTGTGTTTCACATACATTAATCGGTAGTACGAATTAAATTATCATACAATATGTAGGATAATGCAACGTGGCTATAACTAGGCACATACATGTAACAGTGAATTGCAAATAAAAAAAATTATGTGTTTTCGATTTTTCCGATACTATTATAAAGACGAGTCTTCCATCTTATATATATAATTATATCCCTAAATATAATTATATATATATATGTACATACAATAATATATATATATAATCACTATGATCTGTTTCTTTATTTACAACATTTAAACTATTGTACTAACGAGTGTGTTACGTCTTCCATTTTCGGTATTTTATCATTATAATGTAGTACTTAGCTTTTCATGTTTTTTCTTCTCATTAATCATTAATATAACAGAATGCATCGCTTATTATCAGAATGTCATTATACAGATACGGTAGAATTGTACAACGAATAATTAATTGCAAGCTGAATGCACGTGTGTCTGTCTCTATCTGTCCGCATGTATCTCGCCGCCTCCTCCTCGTTTCTCACTCTATGTGTATATATAATATGTATATTCGTGTGCCTGTGTATGTTACGCAGTGTATCTGTGTATGTAGCAGCAAAAAGCAATCGTATTACCGCCCCTACTTCTCTTTATCCACATCCAAACATTATCTACCGTCCTTCGAACGGCCTCGGAGAGAATTCACTGTGTCCCGAGCGAGTATCCGTACTTAAATTTATCTTACAAAAATATTTACAGTGTTTCACAGTTTGCCCTCAGTGATTGACGGGACACGGCAGAAGCCTGTACATCCTTGTCAATACCGACTCCGCCTCACAAACAGCCTGCTCAGAGAGTAACTTACACTAGTATACACGGTTTATTACAAAATATCGGCTAAACTACCGGCTGGAACGCGCAAAACCGGCCCGAATGCAATGTGCAACAACGTTGTATTTAAAATTAAACACGATAAAACTGTCCAAGCTGATTAAACAAATTAAAACTCTTTCATCATCACACAACCTTCAAAAATAGTTACGCAAAATACCGATTTTATATTTCAATTGAGCCAATCGTGGTTTGTTTGCAACCTTATTTTGTACAACTATTATCATTTCTTTAGAATCCTAAACGCAACTGAAACAATTCACCTAGTTCCGTGTCGCGTTCGGGTACGATTTTATGCGCGCCATCGGTACATACAAACAAATGTCAAATACCAAAAATATCCGTTACACCGCGTGCGTCTCGTTTCCTCGAATATCAGAGTCAATGTTGTTCTTTCCAAAGCCGAAAATCGAACGCAAACGGGCCTGGTTCTCTTGCGTTCCCTGGATCGTAGAATCTCTCACACAGTTTTTATGAAATTATCATGCAGAGCTGGACCGAAATGGCCGCCTGTTTACCTAGTTCCGGATTCAAAGGTAGTGTCGACAAAGTAAAAATAAAATTGTTTGCCAATTCTCCAGCTCTGCATCCTACACTCTCGCCTCTTTCCTCGCGCCTTTCTCTCAAATCACAGATCGCTAGACTTTTTTTTCAAAAGTTCCAGAAGTACGTATAAAAAGAAAACAAGCAGAGGAAAAAAGAAATGTGTGAATACTTTTTTTGCCTCTGAAAACTGAGTCTAGAAATTAATTTGTTGCCTGCCTCTTGATTCAATCGCTCGCTAAATATTTCCAGCTTTGTTATTCAAAGTTTAAGTGATTGCAAAAATTTTCGTTGTGACCTTCTAATCGCTATTGCGCCACCGTAGACAAATGCAATTGATAAGACTCTTACCTTGGAAACAAGGGGTCCGCGTTGCAACGGACCAAGTACGATTAATTAATAAACGCAGTCGATACATAATATATACACACGAGGAGAATTTAGAATATGAAACTTTGTACACTAATTAAATTATAGCGTCGTGTACGCGCGCGTTTTATAACACCATATACAATCTCTTCTTTTTAAAATTCCGCGATCACCGGTTTCAGTAAAAAATAGGAAAAAAGAAACGCAAAAAAGCAAGAGGAAAACAACGAATTCACATTACACCGCTACATAACGCACAATAAATACTTAATTTTCAAAAACGAATAAAAAAACAACAAAAGAAAGAAAGAAGCCGAAAAGCATCCTATACGCAACTCACTTGCCGCACTAGTATAATCGTTGCTTCCTAAGTAACCCCTTAAACAGTTTTGTACTTGCGAATGAATGTTCAGTTTCAGGACTCGCACGGATCGTCGAATGAAATCCGTCGAAGAACTAACCCCTCGAAAGTTCCAAAATTGGTTGGACATTAGTAAAGATAATCTTTAGTTTATCATGTTTGACAGATTCTACGAAATTCCGTTGAAATTAGAGTGTGTTGGAGGGTGTCTTCGACGATAGCTAGCTATCGATGAACAGAAGAAGAAGCTAGGGGTAGAATAGCAAGATGGACGACGTGTGGACGAGCCTTCGAATGTTTCCAGATGTGTCGAGAGTTTGACTTCGACAGTGAAAAGAGAGACGAAGAGAGAGAAGAAACAAAAAATCACGCTGTACAATTTTGTCTCCTAAACAAGTACGGGTCTTAAAGACAGTCCGATTCTAACCTCTCCTCGGTTTCTCTGATTCGCGCCCTAGAATCCAAGCGACCGATTTTTCATCGTGCAAACGACCAGCGTCTTATATCGACGACACCTTCGTTTCCCTTCGCGGTACCACGCGAATAACAATGGGAAAAAACTGAAACGAAAGCCTCGTCGAGATGTAGCGCACACTGGCGGTCCAATCAACTATGATTAAATACATTAGCTTTGTATCGTTACATTATGCGTATGATATTTACAGTATAATCGAATAATGCTCCGGTGTGCATGTTTATCTGTGTGTATGTCTGAGTGTTCCTGGCGGATATATAATATATATTTATATATTTATATAACGTTCAGTACCCGAGCCAACGAATCGTCACGAGGCTCGCCGACTCGGATCACGAGTCCAACTTTCTTATAGTTCCATCAAAAATTGAACTAAAGCTATGTATAAACGTTTCGCGAAGAGAGATAGTGCACGATCTTCGCACGCACTTTTGGCCGTTGCGCTTAGATGCCTGATAGAGATTAGCGTATTCGGGGGTGCTGGCAGTCGCCTAACAAAATGGCACCCCCATCGGTCTTCGCGGAAATACTTAAACTATCACTTTTTAGGCCACGCGAATCCTAATCCTCGAATCTTTCGAATCCTAATAGAATTTCCCGCGTCCACTGCCGACTTCACCAGTGGACGTTCTTAGCACCTGGGTGTGAATCGTCGCCGGACCTTCCGCATTTCTTAAACGGAAGAGGCCGCGTATTCGTTTAATTCTCTACCCCCTGTCATCGGGGGGCGGGACGAGCAGCCGAGGTGAACGTAAAAAAACGAAGGAGAAAGATCAAGAGAATTCTTGTCTAATGGTATCGAATCTTCGGCGCTCGCTATCTACAAGAACGTTGCTACGCGCTTTATGCGGGTTAAGACCTGGGTGCCGGATGGTTGTAAAATGGCTTCTGAGGTTGACCAGTGGCTGGGTACATCTGGTTCCCAGGCGGTGGTGGTGTACCTGACGAGAATTTGGAGATCGAGACCGCTGTGGTGGTTGGAGGAATGAACTGAGGCGGGTAAGGATTTGATCCTGGCGGCGCCTGCGATGCTTGCGGTACCAAGAACTGCTGTTGCGGCTGCTGCTTGTTGCTGGACGTTTGTGCATTTGCGTACACTGGCTGCGGCGCATTTTGGGGCACCGTGAAGTTAGTGAACTGGACAGGACAAGGTTTAGCCTGGAATTGGGGATAGTGGATGGACGCTGATCCAGGTGGAGGTATGTAGGGTTGAGGGGGTAGCTGAGGTACGGGGTAGCCGGGAGGGGTGCTGGACACGGTAGGATGAGGAGGAGAGGATTTGCGTGCCTTCAGTATCGCCTCTGCTGTCAGACCTAGGGAATTAGTCGGAATGAAGTGTTTATAATGATATAGGTAATGATAGTATTTATAATGATATAGAAAATTTAAAAACTTACCATGTTTGCGAGCCCTTTCCTCTTCGTCGTCGCTCAGGAACAATCCGAATTCTCGCTTCAGCCTCTCAGTGAGGTTTTCCCGCTGTCGTTCGACTAGAGTTGGAGCGGCTGACCAGCCGATGGTGCCCTCTTCACCCCCTGAAGAAACGGAAAATGGTTAGTGAATGTGTGAGTCTTCGGTTTGCACTGTGGTCGAACCTTTGTACTAACCGTTACCTTTCTTCTCCTCCGTCTCAGAGTTGTTGAAGAGTGGTAACGTGGTGAGGCCGGGTAGATCGAGGGAGAGAGAGGGAATTTTGGAAGCCTCCTCGTCGGAACTTAGAGACGAGGTGCCGCTACTTGCGCTGTCTGATCTGCCCCTGGCACTTCCTTTGTCTGCGTTGGGAGTGTCATTGGGAGATGGTTCAGGATCCGGTGGGGTCCCGGACGACTGTTGTTTGCGTTTCCGGTATTCTGATATGGACAACTAAAATCGATAAATTATTAAGTTACGACGCTGCCCGGTGGAGTCGAATGTAGCAAACATGAAGTCATTCTAACCTTTCGTTTAACTGGAGGAATCGCGTCGGGCTTAAATGCAGGCGCTGGCATACTGTTTGGAACGACAGTTCTGGGGTCCTTTAATCGTTTAACTTCCTTGTGCGGAGCAGCTTCTTCTTCTTTAGGTAGAGGATCCTCGACTGGAGTTTCCGAAGGAACGGTCCTCGGGGTGGCAGCATCTGGTACGTCTACGCTCTGCTCCGAGGTCTCAGACTTCGGTTCTGTGAACGTGGTGCTGTTCTCATCAACAGTTTCCTCTTTGGTCTCTTCCGGCGTCAAGTCATCCAGCTTCGCCTCCAGCAGTTCTCTTAGTGCCGTGGAAAGCATGGACTTCTGTTCGCCGTTCTTAGAACCGTCGGAGGACTCTATATCTATGGTGGACTCAATAATGGCCGCTTCGAAATTCAACTGGCTCTTAGAAGCGCTTGCTTCCGCTTTGTACGTATGCGTTATATTTCGCCGTATGCGTTCGCTCAGTGGTGGAATGGAATGGAATATCTTGGGTGGCTCAACGATGGATTCTGTGTCCATATTGGAGGACGTAGACTCGAATATAGACTCCTCCGAGGAGGCTACGAAAACGGACGGCTGTTCTGTCTTCTGAGATTCTTCCGTCTGCTCTATTTCTTTTATGTCGTGGTCGACGACGACGTCCTCCTGGTCCGGCTTGCTTTCGAATTCTTTGAACAGTCTTTCTTCATGCTCTATACTGAAGGATTTGAAAGACGTCTCGTACTTCATGTCGTCGAGATCCTTGTCCTCGGACTCTGAGTCCTCCTTAGAGCTCTCCATCAAGCCCTCTATACCGTCCATGCTCTTGTCCTTCTCTGAACTTGTATCCACCTTTTCCTTGTAATCGTTACCGTCGTCCCCGGTGATTTTCTTCATCTGAGCTTCAACGTCGAACTCGTCGATGGACATGTTGTCGTCGGACTTGACGCTGTCTTGTTTCCTGTCATCGTCTTCACACTTCTCGTTCTCCATTTCCGTTATAGTGCCTCCGAACTCTAGCCTCATCTCGTCTACACGTTGCTTCAAAATGGCGTCCGACTCCATAGTGTCGATCGGAGAACTGAAGTCTTCCATCTCGGTGTCTCCTTCCTCGTTCTGATCTACAATCTCGACCGTGCCCTTCTCGACCTGTATAATAATCTCTTCTTTGATAACGTGCTCCTTCTTGATTCTCTCCCTCTGATAATCTATCTCGGTCTTAATTAATAGGAACTCGTCCTTGATAGATTTCGAATCTAAATGCTCCGAAATCTCGCTGTCTATCTCCCTTTTCTTCGGATCTACCTTCAACTCTATACTCTTTTCTTTCATCAACGCGTCCATAGGAACGACCTCGATGTTTTCTTCGTTTTTTATGCTCTTTGTATGAAAATTTTGTCCCGGTATCTCGATGCATAACTTCTGGCATAGATTACCCTCAGGTGTTTCTTCCTGTTTAATTGATTTCAGGGGCTCTGGTCGTTTGTCGTTTGCGTCATCAATTAAGGGTGAATGGGGATGTTCGATGTAGTCGTCCTGGAACAACAAATAACATCTAAAATTGAACAATGAATCCCTAACACTCATGCCATTGTTCTAAGTTTAGATTGCATAAAATTAATTTGTACACTTAGCGAAAAATGTACACACCTCTGTCGGGCACAATGACCTAGTATTGTGAGCAGCTTCAGGATGCAACATAGTGGGCGTTGTAGGTGGAGTATAATTATCCGACGATAAGCTCTCTCGGGCTATCCTTCTTTTCTTCGGCGGAGCAACCAATTCGCTGGCAGGAGGGCTTTCCGGTCGGCTGTTCGGCGAGTCGCATTCCTCAGATATGGCTTGTCGCAGCCACCTCTTCTTGGCTGAGCCTGAGGACACAGGACAACCGGTGTTCCCAGCAGCCACTGCTTGCTTGCGCTGAGGAGGCGAGTCACAGATTCCAGAAACGGAATTGGCAGCTTGGACCAGGGTAGCTAGACTTTTGGCTGCGTAGCTTTGGCTAAGAAATTCGGCTGACGAGTCCGCGGGTAAATTAAAATCTGAAATAGACCGGCAATTCGGGTTGATGGTGTTGGATAGCGGCGTCGAAGGCAAGGCTGGTAGCGGAGAGACTTGGGGTATGTTGGCCTGGGGTGGGTCAGGCGATTCCTTCAGCCATTCGTTCATCAGGACCTTCTTCGTCTTTGGGAACTTGAAGCCAGGGGCAAGCGGACCAACTGCTGCCGCGACCAGCAAGCACGCCGATGACAGTGGTGTAGGCGGAGTAGAACTTTGAGAACTGCTACTGGCCCCACTGTCACAAGTAGGACTTTTTACAGGCGTCGGTTGTTGTAAAGGTGGAGAGCTAGGCCCAGGAGCGTTGGAATTTGCTAGAGCCAACAGCAGACCAGCAGCTGTTGGTATTCCTTGATGAGCAAGCACTGTGTTCGGATTGTCATTTGCATTCTTCGCTGGAGTATGCAGGTGGGAGGAGTAGGGAGCATCCCGGTTCAGCGAGTGGTTCTGACTCGACATTGGTGGCGATTGTATAGAGGTGCTTTCTTCTCCAGAGGACATATCCGAGTCCGCAGAGTTTAGTCTCGACCTTCGACTACCGCTTTGAGATTGTGACGAAGTCCTGGTCCGACCTTTCCTTTTCTTCCGCCTCAATGGCCTCTCGGAGGTCTGTTGTTTCTGTTTCGATGGTATCGGCGTTAGCGGCTGATTGTCTTCGTTGTCGCTATGCGTGCTGCCGGACTCCTTTCTTTGCGCGTTTCTTGCCTGCACCTCCTGCTTCCTCTGCTCCGCCTTTTCCAGCCTCTCAAACGCCTTCATGATTGCCTCCATCTTCCTCTCTTCTCTGGTCATCTTCTTCTTATCTTTCTTGGTTTCCACAGCTGTTACTTGACTCAAACTTGGGGATATTTGTGCCTGTTGTATCGGGACCACTGGAGGTTCCTCCTTGGGGGTCTGCCGGGTCACCGTCGCTACCGTGGTGGTAATTGTTCGTCTAACTGGCGCAGGTGACACCGACGCTGGTGTTGTTACCGGTGGTGGCGTGGGCTGAGTGACGCTGGTGCTGGGAGCCGCTGTGGATGAATCACTATCCTCGCAAATTGTATTCCGTCTGCCCCTCCGTCTTCGTTCGCGGCCACTGAGAAGGTTAATAAATATTTTGTGACCACAACCAAGTTTGAAAACTATAAAATGTTCTACAAATACTTACTCGGCATTTTCCACTAGTGCGCCATTGCTTCCTCTTCGGCTCATCTGGTTCACCGATGTTATTTGACACTCTCTTGGATTGTTACACGCGCACACGATCGGCACCGTCGGTCCATTCGGGTTTGGCGAGAGCAGCAGATCATGTTGTTCATGTCTGATCGTGATCTCGGCGTTCTTTTCAATGGCGGTGGTCGTTACGATATACAAATGCAACGTTCCTTTCTCTATACAGTGCTTCACTTCCGCGTTCGGCTTACAACTACGCCGCACGAAACGGGCGTCGTTCCCGTACGTTCTCGTGTCCACGCACACCTCCGTACCGTCTCGCGGCAACCGATAAAAGAACACGAAAGGGCCCGGCCTCTGTGTATGTTGTCTACCCTGGGGATGCGACGGCCGATGCTGGGTACTCAACATGTACTTGCCTCTTAATTCAACCACTGGCGTATTAGGTGGCAAGTACATCGTTGCCACCAAAAACTACAATAAACGAAATATTGAAAATTAATAAACTGAAATTATATGTAGGATAAATATATATGTAGGAAGTGTTTATTTACCCTAACGTTATTACTGTGGACATTCAGCCGACACTTTCCAGAGGCGATAACATTCATGTTACTTTGCCTAAGGTCACTGTGCGTGCCGTTTACTTTGATAGACGATATTCTAGCCCGTAACTCGGGACTATAGTGATTCGTAACGGCCTCCTCGTAACGCTCGATCCATTGCCGAAGCGGCGCGACGTTCGAGCTCCACGAGTCCTGTGTTTCTTCTTCCCGATCTTCGAGGCTCATTCGACGTTTCGGTTTACGTTTACCTGGGCCTCGTTTTGTCGCCTCTTTCTTACGTACCGTGCTGGATTGTCTCGGATGTGAGTCTCTCCTCTGCCTTTTCGCCACGTTATTATTGTTATTATTATTGTTGTTCAGACGTCTTACTTGCGGCGGGGGATCGGACTTCCGCCTAGGTACTTGCTGCGGCTGCTGTTGCTGTGGCAACGTTCGTTTCTTCGGCATCGCGTTCACACCGACGTCGGTGTCCGCCGAGCTGGTCGACGACGTGTCCGACGATGTATCTGAGTTCAGCAATTCCTCTCGCTTTCGCATCTGCAAGGCACGAGCCCTTTGTCTATCTACGCGTCGCGGTCGACAGATCTCGCAAAGGTATTCATCGGGAATGTTCGAACGATCTATGCCCATGCAATCAACGTGTTGCCACACCCTAGAACATCACATGTCTCCCGTGATCCACAGGGAAACCATTGCAAAACCATCATATACTCAGGCTTGGACAATTCTTGGACATCCGTATTGCGGTAAACCTGCGGTCGTGACTAACGAAGTTAATGCAAATGAGGGCAGTACATTGTCATGAGAAAAGATTTTAAATATAAATTTATTCATACACAAAATAATAAATAAAATTGTAGCGTCCGGTCGTATGCACAAGAGTTTTTTTTTCATGCAAACGGTTAACGTAATTTACGACTATCATTCGACGAAGTTATTTCTGAGTCGATATTTTCCTGATTTGTGCCCGGTGTGCGGCTGGCCCGACACAAAGTCCCACAGCGACGTCATGACAAACTCGTACCCTCCAATCACCTCGCTGTTTTGAAAACAAGCACGCTAAGGGTGTAAGGAATAGGCAGTGAAACAGGAAAAGGAACAGTTCTGATTGGAAAGATTCAACGCTTGGGTTAGCCAATCATTTTTGACACAGTTTTTTCAGTTCGTCAGTCTTCTTATGTAGAGTCAGATCGAAATACGAGGTCACGACACAACCGAATACTAATGTATCGACCTATTTGTTAATATATTAATAGAGACATTTCGCTCCGCACAATAAGTGTACAGTTTTCATAGACAAATAAAAAAATATATATTGTTTGAATAATGTCCAAGCCTGATCCACAGCTAACCGTAGGATGAGAATTACTCACAGACAGCGATCGCAACAAATCATGTATCCATCGTCGTGCTCAAAGTCACTAGAACAGGAAGACAATTCTGCTAATGAATCTGTTCGCTTCATCTGCATTGGCAAGGGGTATTAATAGTACTCACCATATGCACCTGGTCACACTGTCTTCGTCATCTCCCTCACCCTCCGGAGCAGTCTCAGTCTCCTCACCCTCCGGCTCGGCTTCTCTGCCAGCCTCGCTGCTGATAGCACTAGCAGCGTCATCCTCGACATTGCTGCCGGTCACAACTGGAATCCACAGAGTTTTAAACACCTCTGCTACTATGTCTTGATTATTAAATTGTCGTCATTTGGAAGTACCTTGGCCGTACATATACGTGTGCTGAGAAGTTGCTGCAGAACTTCCAGCACCGTTGATGGCTTGTTGCTTTGGATGGGGTGGTGGTGTCGGAGGCGATGGCGACCGCGGCGGAGGAGCCACGTAGTTGTGATCTTGTAAGACAAACTGAAGACACTGTAATGGGAAATTGGTCACTCGTATCTAGAAGGTTCGCGCCTCTTCTACTGACATGTAATTGGGACAGTACAGTACATAGGTTACCTCGTAGGGGTGAGGAATCCTCCTCACTGGTGACTTCGGTGCAGTTTTATGATAACAGTCATTCTCTTCAGGTACTCTAGTTTCTGGGTCGAGTCTGTAAAGGAAATAGTTTAGTTTAATTTAAACGCAGATGGTTTTAATTTTGTTTACCTTTTCATACGTGTAAAAATTTCTATTAATTCTATGTGATTAATAAAAAAAAATACTAAATAAAATCCTAATAAGTAAACTGACACACTGGATGGGAATAGACAGCTTTGTAAGAATGGTACTGTCGATAACTTGTCGGTAAGTTGACGAATGAATTCATTCTGAGGAGTCTTCTCTCCACATTGTACCATCGAACTAATTTAAATTATAAGACAAAGAGTGTGTCTATTCCAACCAATAGTGGACTTAGAGGACCATCAAAATCAAATACTAACTTGTCCTCCATTTCTTTGCGAGGTTCGGTGCTGGTAACTGGCAACAAGGTCTTTATCTGACCAGACTGCTGCCGAACCTGCTGAGGGAACTGGGAGGTCATGATGAGCTGTTTCTGCTGAATAGTTTGCTGTTGTATTTTTATCGTCGGATTCTTGTGCATGAGCATATTAGGCGTGACAGATTGCTGGGGTAGTAGTGTCTTAATGCTGGTCTTTTGCGGCACCGCGGTGCTAGGTCCTTGACTTTTCACCGCGGTGACATTGGTGTTCAAGGAGGTCTTGATACCAGTCACTTTTTGCTGATGATTCCTCTGTGCAGATTTTTGAGGGGGTATGGTCTTGATACACCCCGGTTGCTTTTGAGTATTCTGTGGCCCTATCACGTTCTGTTGTTGCTGGATGATTTTAACGGGTTGAATGCTCGCGTTCCTATGTAGCGGTTGTTGCACAACATTCTGGGGGGTGTTCGACGTCTTCACAGCATTCACTACTTTCTGAGGCACGCTCTTTATGTTCCCTTGTTGCAGACCCTGCCCCTGAGACTTTGGAACACCCACTCTCATCACCATCTGCTGCTGCTGCTGCTGTTGCACCTTAGAGTTCACCACCTGGGTGCGTTGGTTATTTGGCATGGTGGCGATCGCTGTGACCTTTTGATGTACATTCGTGATACTTTGGCTTCTCTGCACCTGTTGTCCTGCTGTTCCTTGCTGTTGTTTGCCGGTGATCTGTTGTTGCTGGGGCTGGGGGGCCTGCTGGAGAAGTTGCTGTTGCAACTGAGGCGAAGATTGTACGTGTACCTGCTGCTGTGGCTGTGATATCACCTGTTGTTGCTTATTTACGATCAGGAGGTTCGAGTTCTGTTGCGACGGCGATATCACCTGGTGTTGCTTGCTTACGGTCGAGTTTGGCTGGATCTTCGCAATGTTGGGAACGCTGTTACTTTTGCAGACGTTCGTCAACGGTTGCACTCTGTTGTGGTTGGCTGTCGCCACCGTTTGAGGTTGTTGCTGGCTGATTGACTGGGAAGTCCTCTGCGATTGGACCTGCTGTTGCACGTGTTTCTGAACCTGCTCCGGCTGCTGCTGACCTTGCACTTGTCCTAGCACTTGCACCTTCTGTATACCAGCTACAGAATTGCTAGACTTCTGTACATTGTTTACCGTGCCTGTCTGCTGCTGCCTGGGGACGGTCAGATTCTTCTGCTGTTGACCTTGTAGCTTCTGTAATCCCACTTGCTGATTGCCAGCTATCTGTTGGTGCTGCGCTTTGTGGTTCGGATGGCTGGCCAGTATCTGGGTCGACACCTTTTGATTATTGTAAACCTGTTGGGCTATCTTCTGCGTGCCAGCGGCGTTCCCTTGTGCTTTCTGGAGATTCGTGTTTCCGGCGTGCTGCTGGCCTCTCTGTACGGTTGCATTGTTCACCTGGTTCACCGTGAACTGGCTCGCCGAGGTTGGTGTCGACACGGCCTGGCCCTTCTGCACCGTTTGAATCCTTGGCAACGAGTTCCTCTGCACGGCGACCGCCTGATTAGCGTTCACCGACTTCACCTTCTGTAGATTGACCGTCTGAGATTGACCGACGAGATTCTGCGCCTTCACATGTACCCTCTGGATGTTCGACGTGGCTGTGGTGATGGCCTTCACCACGTTGCTGGTGACAAATTGCTGCTGGGGAACCTGTTGCTGCGTTTTCTGCTGCACGTTGCCCTGCAACCCGGATATTGCGGTCCCAGTATGTTGTTGTTGCTGTTTCCCTTCGACCATCTGGCCCCTGCCATGCAGCTGTTTATTCTGCACCGTGGACGCATACTGCAGCGGGTAGACGTGGGCCAGCCCGTTACCCGCTGATGTTAAAGACTGCGAGTTCACTGGAACATGGGTGACATGCGTGCCGGCATTCAGGGTCTGATGGCTGGTGGATGGCAACTTCTGCGAGATCACGCGAGTCGACAACACCTGGGTAGTGTTGGTCTGGGAGCCCGAGATCCTCTGCACCTCTCTGGCAGCTTTTGTTACCGGGTACGTGACGTTCACCGATTTCACCGTGGTGAAGGATATCACGTGGCCAGCTGGGATTTCCGGCGTCGCCTCCAGACACTGTAGGATCTGAGACTTGCCGGCATCCTCGCCGGCGACCACCACCTGATTAGACGCATCTTTACTCAACAACCCGGAGCCTGCTTGGCTACCGATCTTCTTCTCTATAGGTGACTCGACCGTGCCCAACTGCAAAACGAAGCTCATGGTGGTCTCAGCGGCTTGCGGAAAGCTGTCGACGCATTTCGACGTGATTCCTCCATCGTTTTCGCTCGCATTCGCACGCTCGGCTGGGGACACCGGGGGAGGTGGGCCAGGCCCTGGGGACAATTGCTCCCCACCCCCACCTGTTCCACCCCCCGATAACTTGATCACCGACGGGGTCGACGTTTTGGAGGCCTTTCGATCACGCCAACTGGAAACTCGAGCGAGTTTAGGATCGAACGGCTATCCTCGTCCAGCAGCTTCGCCGTGTACCGCGCGAATTCGATTCCGCTATTTGAGGATCCTGAACCATAGGCTGCAACACATCAACCACGCCAATTAATTCGATTGTTCTCATTAAATAGACATACTTAGAACTACGGGAATGAACATACGGGAGTACATGTCTCATTCAAGACACATACTTGACATTACAGGAAGGGATATTTTTTAAACGCATTCGTTTACTTCATTATTTTCTCATTTCACTCCATCAGGTAACATTTATAATCCACTCTCATTTATGATACATAGATTACAAGAAGGAATGTTTTCTAGATGCATCGGTTTAATCGTTCTTCGTTCTTTATTTCTTCATAACGAACGGAACTTTACGGAGGTAATTTGGTTTGGATGTTACAAAACTTCGTAAAATACAGTATATGATACCAAGTCCTTCCTAGTGCATAAGAAACGGGGTCATATGCAGTGTTCGTTGGAGCAAAATGGACGAATCGTAGGAGAGAATCACGCTGTCTACGTTGCCCAACCTGCAACATGCATTAACTATTCAGCGGCTATGGCGAAGCAGTGCAATATATACGCTGCTATTGATCCAGAAGAACGTTTCTTCTTACCGGCTCGAGAGGGCAAACGATTGTTCGATTGTGATCGCAGACTTTTTGCTAGACATTGATGAAAGTATTTCGAGCATTCGATTGCGTAATCCACGCAGCGAAACCGGTCGAGAAAAATGGCCTGCGATTGGAGGAGGACAAGCCCTCCGCTGGAGAACCTGTTGACGAGATAGCATCGATTCTGATGGAGTGTTGATGAGCCTAATTAATTCTCGGCGAAGCTCGTGCTTTCACAGTGGCGAGCTGCTGCCGTTTGGCCATCTGGATCCGGAGAACGAGGCCTTCTGGTTCCGTCACATCAACAGATCTGTGTTGATGTTTTAACCCTCGGAGGACGGACCACGTGGAGGCAGAAAGCTGGGTCACTTCTGACCCGTATCAATATCAAGCATAAACAGATTCCAAAGTGTAATTCTTTTCCTTGCATCTTATGAGTGAGTTTATTATAGGGAAAAAATATAGGTTTATTATGAACAATTTGTAAATTATTGTAAAACAAATAGATCTAGATCTAGATCTAGATAGATAAAAGCATATCCCACGACCCACGTTCATCCTGCGAATGTCCGAAGCTTTTATACCGTAGAAATTCCGAGCCCTTAATAAGATTCGAACACGAAACCCTTATTTTTGCTAGGAAAAAAAATGGTTTCAAGCGTTGAAAAAATGCTAAAATAATTGGTGATACGACGAGTATCGTTGCACGCGTCGCGTAATCGTGATCGAGTAGTGTCAAGAGCGCACGTGCAGCTGGACTGGCGCCAAGTGTGCCTAAGTATCGCCACCTCTTGCCGCGTCGAGCTCCCCTGATCAATTAACGCGATCAATTTCCTCGAGTAAGCCGGATAATTCCGTGCCAATGTAAACAGCCCGATCCGATCAAAAAGCACGCAACATCGGTGGGGGTCCGTAAAAGAGAGTTGTACCGCTCCGGGCAGCGACCGGGTCGGTCCGGACCCGACGCCAAATTCGGAAGTCCGACTGACAATATTTTTAGACGCGCTTAAATATAACAATGGTCTTCGATTATTTTTATCTGCGGCTATTCGCAGACTACGCGTGTCTAATTCAATTTAGATAGCGCGCGAACGGCGATAAGCGACAGTGCGGAAGCTTATTGTATCTATTTATGCGTGCAATATATCAATGTCAGAACGCGCCGATATTTATTGCCGATAAACCCGTAGCTGTCCGGCGATGCATCGATTCCAGAACAACGTCCCATGCATTATTTAACGGATGCGCCGAGCGTGATACGCGTCGACTTGTGGCGGCTACCTCCAGACCCGCCAGCAGATGGCTCCTCTTCCCGCGAGTAACCGATCCGCCTCAATTAGTATATATACAAACTTCGTCCTTCCTACCGATATCCCAACGTCTAAGGCAAGGGCCCGCTATGATAGCCTTACGATGAGTCCTCTAGCGGGCCCCGGACGAAACGTCATCCCCTCTCCTCTCTCACCCAGCATCCACACAGTCAGATCACAACCGCCAAATTGGTGAGCCCGACGTGATACGCAAACAACCTTCTGATCAACCTACAGCATTGTAAATAGTACCAAAAGAAGACTCAGTCACTGCACCGCGACTCGTCAAGAGACAAAGTCCGCGAGCGAATAAAGAAGTTTTCCACCGCACACAAGTGTACAAGTAATTTCGAATCATCCTACCCAAAGACTGTTGGTTTTCTTACGTCGCAAATTGTTTTCACTCGTTTATATTGTTCGGTTTCGATAATATCTTCAATAAATCGAAGCAAGCTAATTTTCGGGGTAGGCCATGGAAAATAAAAAGACAAAAGTTCGTGAAGTCCACCGAGGACGCGATACGGCACTGGGAACTGTCATTCGCGTTTCGCAACCTCGGCTGTTAACATCTCTGTGCCATCGGAATCGAGATTACGCTGCATGCGCATACTATAACTCAGACGAGCATGACTCTCCCGGGCCATTTTTTTTCTCTGGAATTTCAACATGATCACGCGACCAGCACGTGACCTCACGTTTCTGCGAAGTAACGTCGGCAAACAATTTTTAAATTTATAATTATCCGACGTTCTATGCTAACAAGCATCCGATTAGAGCAGAATCCTTCAATCAGGGTATCACCGAGAACGCAGCGGTCCCAACGTGTCAGTAATTTACTATCGCGGAGATAAGGCCGGTTTATTTAACCAGCCACTCATGACCATTTTTACGGCTAGTCTGTTATCGCGGCGATTTTTAAAACGGATCGTACCGCCGTTATTTGCGATATTGTTGCGCCTGAAAAATTGCTATAACGACGGCCACGCGACCGGGGAGAGGCCGGAGTGTTGGACAACATCCGGTGCGCGATGGTAACGGTAACCATGGCCACGTGACTTTCCATAATTGATACGGCCTTCCGGTGATAATCAAACTGTCGCTAGATTCCAGAAAGTTCGCGTCGGCTAAGAAAATTGAAGCATTTGAAGATTATTCGAGAAAACTGACCACCCCCTCGGTCACTTATCGGTACGTCGCGTCGCGCGCGCGCGTCGATAACCATAGGGAAAGGATTGAATGGCCGAGATTTCTCCGGCGAGAAAACCTGTCGGTACGTTCGGGAATCACGATAGCGCGAAGTGACCGGGCTCATCGTAACGACGTTATCGGCACTGTCAAAACGCCAGCGGTGTGATCTCCCTGGTAGGGTCGCGCGAATGAAAGGCCACGCAGCCGTTCGTTAACCGAGGTTATGCACTCGGCCAGTTGCAACGCGCTTCTGGGTTGAAAACTAACCGTACCTCGCCAAAACGAATTTATACCACCCGATGAATCGACGCGTTCATTCATGGCACAAAACCACTGTTACAAATTGATAACTCAAAACGTTGAACCCACCGTGCCGTACCGATGCCATTTTAAGTACCCTAATTCCGCGTACACTAGATTAATTATACATTTATTTATAATTATACATTTATATATTGGGATTAACTCGTGACGCGAACGCTCTGTTGCAAAATGGTACCTCGAGACATTGGTCCTACCACGGCGAAAAGGTGACATTTCCGTAGACTAGGTTAGGACTATACTTTAACACTTTAGTAATACACCTCTTAACTCCCCAAAGCTGGAGTCTTTAAGCTCATATCGGCTTAATTATATATTAGAATCTTGTTATTTCTGCTGACTTTGGATTTTCAAGAGATAAGCCATGTTTTTTTTTAAAGTAAATTCGTACGTTTGTTTGGTCGCGTGACTATTTTTTGCAAGCTCGTCGCAAAAAGATAACGAAAGCGGCGTCACGTGATATTATGCAAAGAATAGATGCAAATAAATAGATATAATAAAAAGATGTCTTAACGACTAAAACTTTCGTGACTGCAGAAATTGTTTTCCCCTTGAAATTGAGAGCCCCTGCGCAACGAAGTGTATTATTTCAGATGGCGAGAAATCAGGAAAACTGCCAAAGGCAAGCGTGGATCCCACGGCAGAAACAAAACTATACTCCCGCGACTAAATATAACCTCGTTGCAATGGTTACGTATGGCATCGTTAACCACCCGATAAACGGGCGACGATACGTTTTCGAGAAATACGCGCAAATTTCGTTGAGCCGGTGACGGCATTGTGTAACCATACTTTCTAGCAGTTACGTCAACCACCTTTTTCCTAAATCGGGGAATAATTTACTACCCCCCTCCATGTACTCAGAACATAGTAGAGTGTGGGGCATTTTTTTTCGGGGAAAATTCAGTCCGTCGTCGGTACGCTGCGTTTCGGGTCACTCTGTGCAATACATATAATCGAACAGAGTTGCACGGGAAAAGGTCAGAGGTCGAGCCTTGACGCAAGCGCGTCGGTATTTTGTAAAAAGTGGTACACAGTGCAGCTCATCCTCGCTAAAAACGTGCGGGCGTTTCTGCGCTGACGTATCTGATCAGTGAGCCAAATTTTCTGAATTCAAGGGCACGCGCGGGTCATAGTGTAGTAGGTCATTGAATTCGTCTTGGCAGCAACCACGATCCTGTGATCAAAAATACGTAATAGCGTATTGAAAAATTACGAGGTTCTTGACTTTTCGTTCAGTACAGATCGTGGCCAAGTTGAGGATAGCGAAAAATGGCGGATGTTCCCCGACTGTATCCTACATAGTTTTCGAAACAAATTCTATCGTTTGCATGATTTTAGGAATTGGTTGCAGTTACCAAGGTCCGAGATAGTTGAGGAATGATCGTCTGCAGCTGAGCAGCTGTCGCGACGCATCGCAGAGTCTCGGCCGAAGTTTGCCGCGAATCTGGCCCCCACCTCTCCCCTATCGGAACGCTCACGCGAAAATTAACGAGCGACCGCGCGCGGCGAGAGGAGTCCGCCGCGTAGTAGAACGCGCGAGCGTGCAACGTTGCAGCCTGGTTTGTCGCGTTGGCAGCAATGGGATTTCTGACGACCTACTTGGCGTACCTCGACCCTCGCATTGATTCGACGCGAACCAA